GAGGATGCCAGTCACAGCTGCTGGTGAAACGTCAGGTCCTACAATGCCAGGACCACGGCCATACAGCCTGGAAAATCTACAACAACTAAAGTACGTATTGTCTACTCAGACTGGCAGCAGCTGTCCCAGGTAGAGGTCTTTCACTTCACCTCCTACTTAATCCTTTAGCTGGATGTGCCAGGGATCAGACCTGGGACCTTCTACATGCAAAGCAGAGGCTCTTCTACAGAGCCACAGCCCTTCCCCCTTATATAAGTGAAACAAAGCCCTGACCTGGATAGCCCAGGCTAGCCTGATCCCATCAGATCTTGGAAGTTAAGCAGGGTCGGCATTGGCTTGTATTTGGAAGGGCGACCTCCAAGGCATACCAGGATTTTGATGCAGAGGCAGGCAATAGCAAACCACCTCTGAAATGTCTCTTGCCTTAAAAACTTTGGTGGCTTAAAAACAAGTCTAGCTCGCCACCTACTGGTGCATAACACTAAAGACATAGAACTTTTGGATTCTTGTGTAATGTCTAAAGTTGGCTGCTCTGTCTGTCGTAGCCAACAGTAAGATGAATAACTCGCCATGGCAGGAGATGCAAATTGTATAATGTCCAAAAACATTTGGTTTGTTTAGCTGGTATAGCTTTTCTGACAGAATGGCACTTCAAGTGGCACACAACAAAACGATTAAATAATGATAAAAGTCATAGAACAATTTAGTGTTTTAAATTTAAAAACTTTGATTTACTATGTTGGAACAACGTGGCTGATTTCCTCCATTGTTATTCACTATAGTAAATATTTTACTATATATAGTATTTTAAGATTTCATATGGATGCTAGGCATGATACAGAGGTACCAGCATGTGACTAGTCCTGATTCCAGAGTGTTTTCAGGCACATGATGCCATAGTTTTGCTGGAGTGAAAGCTGTGGAAGAAAGGTAACTGTAATAAATACTATATCCAGTTGTTTGATGGAATGTGCTTTCTCATATGGATCCAAGCGAAGATACAGATCATATCCAAATCTTTGAACTTTGTATTTTAAACATGATTCTTATGCTTTTGCCTATTAGTTTGCATCTCTTGTCTGTGCTTTGGCTTCCTCATAGAAAACCGAAACATTAAACTCCACTTTTTTGTTTGTGTCTAGAATTACTGCAGTTACACATGTCCATGATGCCAGCAGCAGATCCCATGCCATCTTCACTATTCAGTATACTCAAGTTAGTTCCATCTTCTATTCAAGTATTTTTTAAAAAGTAATTGAGACATTGGTTTGAATCCAAAGTACCTGATATAAACAAAGATACAGCAGAACTATTTTTAACTTTCTAATATTTGAAAATATTTCTTGAACCAGTACCTTGGGGCTTCAGAGTATAATTCATTGAAGCCTTATTGCAAGGTTATTTTTGTTCTATTTCACATATATTCTTGAAGTGTGGTCCAGTGAAAGTGTTGGCTCCCCTTATTCTGCATCTGCATACAGCTGAGTTTGTTAAGGTGTTGTAGCCTCTTGTTTAGCAAATCCTGTACTAAACCCATAACTGCTTCTTGAAGTTACTGGAGAATCCAGAAATGGGGGGAAAAAATCATACACAGATAAACATTTGTTTGAATAAATGTGAGTTACATATATTAATATTTTATTGTGTTTTCCTTCAGGCTATATTAGAGAATAATCTGCCCTCTGAAATTGCAAGCAAGATCAATTTAGTGGACCTTGCAGGCAGGTAATGTTTCAGCTTTTGGGACAGTATTCCATAAGCTAGTCATTGCTAAATTTTCTATCTTCAGGGAATAATTTTCACATTGCCATTGAGCCTGTGCTGTACACTGCAAAGCATTCTAGGTCAGTATGTGTTCATACATTCAGTTCATTATTTTGGGAAACTCCAGAGTTCCCTAACCCAGTTTGCGAAACAGTGCTGTAAAGCTGCTATAAAGCTTTTGTTAAGATCCAACAGAACAAGGATATTAAGCGTGCCTTAGAAAAGAGTAAGAGCCCAGTAGCACCTTTAACAAAATTTGTGGTAAGGTATGAGCTTTCATGAGTCACTGCTCACTTCTTCAGATACAGCCATTAAGCTTGCCTTGTCAGTCATGTAGTCTTTGTAATACAGATGTGATGGAAACAAAGAGAAAGAGGTACATTTTCTAAGAACAGTATCCAGTACTAAAAATGGCTTCAGGGGAGTGGAATGAAGCACCATGCACAGGGTTAAAATTTTGTTAGTTTGGTGCCTGCAAAATAACATGAAAAGAACTACCTTTCTCGCTCTCTGTGTACATGGGGAAATGGTTTTGTATACATTTATAGTTCCATTGAAAAGAACCACTGGGACTTGGAATGCATTATATGATCAAAGTTAGTTTGTATAAAGATTATTATTAAGCACCCTTAAGAGTGGGTGTTTTCCTGTGGCATTAAGGTGCAGCCACCTTCATTTTTATGTATCCATTAGGGAGAACATGTGCTATCCCAGCAAAATGGGTGAAGCAGCCGTGAGCTTTTTCCTGTGTGTTCTGTTGCATTTGGCTGAGAGTGCCATTTTATGTATTCCATCTATGTACTGAACTCACATCATGAGGGGTTTTATGGAGGGGTTTTCAGAAGCAGGCCCATAATTGGAGAATCACTTCCCTAAGCTTGCCAAAACCTCAGCCTGGGTGTTTTCCAGACCTCACTTTGGAAAATAGTTTTCAGTGGTGGGAAAGCCTAGCTTTAGCCTTTTAAAAGCTGGTTGGGGTTTTATTTTTATGTTGCAATCATTTTCAGGTTTGCATTTAGTTGTGGTAATTTTCCTTAGTTGTGGTAATTTTCCTTACTTATTGTGTTTCAGTGAAAGAGCAGATCCCAGTTACTGCAAAGATCGGATTACAGAAGGTGCCAACATTAACAAATCATTGGTAACCCTTGGAATTGTCATCTCTACCTTAGGTATAAATAATCTACCTTTTGTTTTAACAATAGCTGTACACTGTTCTACAATACAGATTGCCCTGCTGCATTGTTAGATGGCATATCATGATGCTGTTACACATGTTGCTGTCATTATAAATATAAATGCCTGTACAGCTTATGGAGTTCTCATTGTACATGCTGTTGCCTAGTGCCTATTCCTAGTGGGATATTTACCCGGAGACAAGGCATCAAGCTAGGAATGTGCAATATGCTGAGAAATTGCAAACATTACTTTGGGCTTCCCTACTACCCATGCGGCTACCCACTACATAACACAAATCATAAACTATTTGTGTTTCCCTCTCCTCCTTGTTCTTAGCACAAAATTCTCAGATGATCAGCAGTTGCCAGAGTATAAACAGCATAGCCAGTGATGTGGATAGCAGCCAAACAGGCAGCCAATGCGGAGCCAGCATCAGTGGTCAGAGACGTCAAGCGTACATTCCATACCGTGACTCCATCCTCACTTGGCTTCTGAAGGATAGTTTGGGTGGTAATTCCAAGACAATTATGATTGCAAGTAAGTTCAAGGTGCTGTGTTATTGTTTGTGGTCAGAAGGCTTGTGTGATCTAGACACATATCAGTGTGAATATTACTTCCTTTCTAATCCAAGCCCAAGTCTACATTGAAATAGGAATGAGGAATAAGGAAGAAACCTGTTCTGCTGCTTCTAATTCTTAAGCAGAAAGAGCTGCTGCCTTAAGTCTTAGACCCAGTTTGTCTGAGGAGTAAAAAGTGGTGTGCTTTGCCGTTTGTAAACCAGTTTTTAAATCTTCTTAAATAGCTAATTTTCTTCCCCTATAGCGATCTCTCCTGCAAGTTCTTGCTATAATGAGACCATGAATACCTTGCGATATGCCTCAAATGCCAAAAACATTATTAACAAACCCCGGGTGAATGAGGTTAGTCTTGATGCTTTATCACGTCTTACAAGTGTGTTTGATCAAGTTATACTGAATGTCACTTACAAAAACATACATACGTAAACGTAAGTTAATCTCTAAAAGATACTTAAATACATTTTTGTCATATAGTTTATGTGCATTTTAAATTCTTCTATAGTTCTTGCTTTTTGCGTATTGTTAGTTCTAATTGCCTACCCCATAGTGAAGTATAATAATGAGTTTGATCCTGTTCTCATAGCATTTGTTTGCATGCAAGGCAGAGGGGGCAGGGGTTTTTTTGCTTCACCTTCCTCAGTGCAGTGGTCTTTGTTGCAGAACTTTTCATCCATGCAGGTTTCTCAACCCTCAGCATTGCCATTTCATGGCTGACCACGTGGCTGTTGGGGAAGGGGGCATGTGGACAAGATTTGCCTGTGCTTTCACCTGGGGCTGCAGAGAATTCAGTCTAGTATATTCACTTAATATGCTAAGTAGTGTCATGGGCTGGATTCTAACATGGAAGGTGGAAGGTGTACACAAGAAAAAATATGAATGTAGCATAAGAACTTTGATTTTTCTAGAGTTGGCACAGTGTGATATATGGATTAATAAATTTTCATAGCAAATTAAGTGTTGGAAGCAGAGTAAATTATGCACCAGTGTAATGGCACTTTCCTGCCTCCCTCTTCCCACTGATTACCACTAAATGCTTCTCCTTGAAGATAGGGGACCCTGAGGAATGACATGGGAGGAAGGGGAAATCACTGGAAATTGTCAATTTAATCTGGATCCAGCCCTTTTTGTTTTCTTACAAGGTAGCATGCAGTATGTTTCTTGTAGTACAACCAGTATGAAATGGATTGGTTTGATACTTCTTTGGGTATCTATTTCAAAAAGTATAGTGCTTGTGCTCTTCTGTTTCAGGATGCAAATGTGAAACTGATTAGAGAACTGAGAGAGGAAATTGACAGATTGAAAGCTATGTTGATGAGCTTTGAGCTGGTTTGTACAAATATTTAAATGTGATCAAAATTAGCAATTGGCTCTGTATATCTTGTAAATACATAAGTATCTTGTAAATCTTGCCCAAAATATCTCATTAATTCCTTAAGCATACTGTACTTCATTCAACAGATGCATTCCAGAAACTCACTGCATGAAATAGTAATATCATTTTAGTACTCATTATTTTATTTGAGTAATCATTATTTTATTATAGATCAGAATAGTGAGTTTATTGATTTTTCTAAAAAGCAAACTGTTGTGGGAATCCCATTGTTGTGGGCCCTACATGCAGAGTTGCATTGCAGAAGCAGATTTTAGCCATTTTTTGTTCCAGAAGCAGATGACTCCAGGATGGTAATGGCTTCTCTCAGTGCTGTAATCCTGTCCAAAGAAATCTAAACCCCTTGAAATCAATTGCACTGTAAAAAGGCAAAACCTTCATTTGCAACTATCTCTGTAAAAAGTAAAAAAAGTAAAAGTATAATTTATCAAGCTGTTGGCTCAAGTGGTTAAGACGCTGAACTGCAGGCTGTGGAAGGTCAGTAGTTTAGCGGTTCAAGACCCGGGTGCCGCAAGACAGGGTGAGCTCCTGTCTCTAGTTCCAGCTCCTGCCAACCTAGCAGTTCGAAAGCAAGAAATTGCAAGTAGATAAATAGGGACCACTTCGGTGGGAAGGTAACAGCGTTCCGTGCGCCTCGGTGTTTAGTCATGCCGGCCACATGACCACAGAAACGTCTTCGGACAGCGCTGGCTCTTCGGCTTTGAAACGGAGATGAGCACCGCAACCCTAGAGTCGGATTCGACTGGCTTTCGAGCAAGGGAACCTTTACCTTTACCTTTTTGATATAGTTAGATCTTATGCAGGCATCTGTGTTCGTGTATCTAGAGTTGCCCTTTTCTCAGGTGCTCCATAAATATTTTTTTGGCATTTCTTTTAGCTATAAATAAAAATAAGAGATATTGACTTGGATCGACTAAGGTGTTTCTGTGGACAGAAGGATTCTGCCTGTGGAGCACAACATCCTTGCGTAACATTCTCTTGCTACAGTCCAAAGTGCCCCCCAAATTTTAGAGGTTATTTTCTCTGGGTGGTTGTCATACTCTGCAAACAGAAATCCTTCCATCCATCGAAACGGTGCCATTGATCCAAGCCACTGAGTAGAATATACAAATGATTTTCCAAGTGTTCGCTTACTCTCTGTAGAGTGCATTAACAGCAGTCACAATGGACCCTGCTAATTATTGAAGTTGTTATAGTTTTTTTCTGAGACTGCAGTATCCATTTATATCTGTACCTCAGTGATTTTCTATTTTGCATAATCAACCCACAGAGACAGGGAACTTGAGTCTACTTTCTAGTTCCTGGTGTTGTAGTCAGTGTGATAAAACTCAGCCAAGTCTTCACAGGGAGTTTTACAGATGTGGTGAAAATATATAAAAAAAATCCCAGTGGGAGATATTTTCATTTCAAGATCCAGGTAATAATTCTAGAGTAGCTAGCCATGTTGCAGCAGAAATAAACAGAACACCTTAAAGACTTGCCCATTTTTATTCTAGCTAGTGGAAGCTTTCATGGACTGGAGCCCTCTTTGTCAGATGGGCCTGATGGAGCTGGCTCTAGTCCATAGACGTTTGTGCTGGAATAAAAACACATTAGATGCAAGTTCTGTATTAAGTCAAGTTCCAACACCATGTATCTGGGAAAAAGGGACAGAGGGCCTCTTATAACTGCCTACAGCTAGATTCTAGTCCAATAGCATCTTAGAGACCAACAAGATTTTAGGCATATGAGCTTTCAAGAGTCAAAGCTCTTGAAATACTCTCTGAAACAAGTGTCTTTTTTCAAAACTCTCACCCACTGCAGTTAGAAACATTTCATGGATAGATCTGGATTGCCAAATCAAGCTTCTGATATGCTCCTGTATTTTCTCCTTGTTTCATCTTCCATTCCTGAAGTAAGATGATTTGTCTGCATTCTGGATATTGAAATGGTACACAGTTATCTCTCACATTTTGTTTGCACAGAGGAATTTTAATCCATCTTGGAGTGAGGATAAAGATGGAAATTTGACAGAATTAGTTCTTCAGAATGAACTTAAGGTTTGTACAGTTTGTAGTTTTCCCATATTAAATAGTGGGAGATTGTGGCATGTTTTATAAATTCTTACTTTATATAAAAGTATGTATATCAAAGCCAATATCCATACATCCTCCACCTGGATAAAATCGAGTCCGCTCAGACACATAGCAAGCTGTTTGATCCTATACCTGACCCTTTGCTTTTCTGCCCTTCAGGTATTATGCAGTCAGCCTCTTGTGTCTGTATAGCAAACCCTGTCAGTGATCACACTAGGGGCCTCCCTTTTCTGGCAGCAATAATAGTAATTTTGATCCTTTCTGAATTTCTACTTGCTTGCGGTAAAAATGTGTTCATGTAATGCAGTTAAAATCAGCACTGTTTTTTTCCCTCATTTGCCACCCCCAAAGATTGAGCAGCTGACCAAAGACTGGACAGATAAGTGGATTAACAAGAAAGCTATCATGGAAGAATACAGTGTGGATATCAACAAGAAAAAATCTGGAGTGACAATTGATTCCAGTTTACCTCACTTAATGACCATGGATGAAGATATCCTTAGCACTGGAGTTGTGCTTTATCATCTCAGGGTGAGATGAGATCTAAGTATTTTGTTTTCATTTCCAAGTGTTAACAGCCCAAGTTAGCTTAAACAAAAGAAAATGTTGAGCTGGCATTTAAGCTTCACTGGTTTAATAGAAATAATACAGACAAAAATCATGTGATGTGATAAAAAGTTTCAAGACTGGGAAATGAGGGGGGAAAGCTTCTTAGGTTGTAAGACAACTAGGAATCTTCTGGTAAGCAAAAAAGTAGGTTCTGTTATGTGGACTCAATGATAGCAAGTGGACCTCATCTTTATAATGCCAGCCACCGCCCAGTATTCAACCTTCCATTCCTAGGCAAGGTAGTTGAGAGGGCAGTGGTGGAACAGCTCCAGGTTTTTCTGAATGACACTTCCATCCTGGACCCAGTCCAGTCCGGTTTCCATCCTGGCTATGGAATGGAGATGGCATTGGTTGCCCTCACAGGTGACCTCCGGAGACACCTGGATTGAGGTGGGTCAGTGCTGCTGTTATTGTTTGACTTGACAGCAGCGTTTGACACAGTTGATTACGATCTGATGGCCCACCGCCTTACTGACACTGGGATATGGTGGACAGCCTTGCAATGGCTGGTCTCATTTCCCCATGGTTGGGGGCAGAGAGTGGTGGTTGGGGAGAGGGTGTCTCCATGTTAGCCTTTGGTATGCAGTGTCCCTCGGGGCGATTCTCTCCCCAATGTTATTTAACATCTGTATGTGCCCTTTTGCCCAGTTAATCCAGGGGTTTGGGCTGGGTTGTCACCAGTATGCTGATGACACCCAGCTGTATCTGTTGATGGATGGACCACCGGGGCTGAGGCTTTGGAGGCTATGGCTGATTGGTTACAGCAGAGGCATCTGAAATTAATTCCATCAAAGATGGAGGTCCTGTATCTGAACCGGGGGGGGGGAGGGGAGATTGAGAATCTGAATCCCAACCATTGGCAGAGAAATTCTAGTGCCAATACTGACAGTGAGGAGCTTGGGAGTGACCTTGGATGCCTCACTTTCAGTAGAGGCCCAGGTCATGAACACTGCTACATTGGCCTTTTATCATCTTCGGCTAGTCAGGCAGCTGGTTCCCTATCTCTCCTCCTGCGACTTGGCTACAGAGATCCAAGCAATGGTTACCTCCAGACTGAATTACTGTAATTCACTCTACACAGGGCTGCCCTTGAATCTGACCTGGAAACGTCAGTTGTTGTAAAATGCAGCGGCATGTCTCCTGTCTGGGATGTCTTTGTGGGTGCCCATACAGCCAGTGCTTCACCAGCTGCATTGGTTGCCAACTGAGTACCGGATTTGGTTCCAGGTTATGGTTATTAACCTTTAAGGGCCAAGCAGTCATGGACCAACATATCTGCAAGACCGTCTCTCTCAGTATGTTCCCCAGAGAGTCTTACGCTTGGCAGAACAGCATATACTGGTAATCCTCAGCCCAAGAGACATCCGTCTAAGCTCGACCAGAGCCAGAGCCTTTTCGGCTCTGGCTCCAGCCTGGTGAAGTAAGCTCCCTATTGAGATCAGGGCCCTGCGGGACTTACTGCAATTCCACAGGGCCTGTGAAACGGAGCTGTTCCACCAGGCCTTTGGTTGAGGCAGCGGGTGCCTCACTCTATTTGGCCTCCCCTGCTCTAACCAGCTCCCCCTCCAACTAGCCTATGCATTCGTTACATTGACTAGTATCATAGGCTGGGGGCTGGCCCAAATATTACATTGATGGCCCTACCTGAGTTATACTCAGTTGTATCCCTGAGGTCTAGGCTTTACCATCTCGTCATCATGTAGGTTTAGTTAGGTCCTTTAATTTTAACTTAAATTATATAAATTGTTTTTATATGTTTGTGGTGCATTACATCTTGCCTCGAGCCCACTTGTGGGTGAGGGTGGGATAACAATCTCATCAATAAATAAATAATGCAGAAACAGAAGAAAATCATATTGTGAACTAATGTTGGTACAGTGATTAGGGTTTTGGACTAGGACAAGAAAGTTCCAAGTTCAGATTCCCCACCCATCTTGGTTATGAAGCTCGTTGATCTCAGACTGGTCATTGCAGCCCCAGCACCCAGGGGAAGGGAGAGGGCAGTGGAGGCGAGGGATCCCTCCCACCAATAGTTCAATAACACACACTTACAACTCAGCTTTGGAATAAAATTGGCCACAGTTGTAAGAAGCCTAGGCACAGTATGGGGCAAATGGATCCTGGCATCGACTGATCTGCCTGCCAGTCGATGAACTCCAGTCCCACTCCAGCTTGCCTGCTTGGGGTGGGGGAGAACTATGGGATGACAGGATGCTAGATTCCATGAGGACGACTGCCACTAAGTGGTCTTCCCCTGCCACTTGAGCATGAGGGTACCCTTGGCAGCCCCTTGAAAGCCCTCACCCCAAGATCCCTTAAGGGGATCCCAATATGCAGAAAACAGGCACACAGGCTAGTTATCCTAAAAACTGATCCGGCCCCATGCTGCTACCACCGCAAGAGCTGGTCCCGCCAAAGCTCCTACAGCTGCATCCAAGCCAGCAGACCATCCTGAACCCCATGTAGCCAGATGTCCATCCCTCAGTGAGACAGATGAATGCTGTCCATGGGATACAACACTTCCACTCTGTGCAAGATGTGTGGACACCAGATCCTGCAGGCTCCCATGGCCTCAACAATATTGCCCAGCCTGTTGGTCATCTTCCTCCTTGCCACATCGATCCTGTCTGGACAGTTAGCCTCGCACCAAGATCACTGCTCCAGCCAATCAAACCAAAAGATGGTCATGGCTGGGAGCTCTCCCCATAACACTTGGAAATCTGCCTCAGCCTGGTGTGCCAAGCCAGTACCCGTATGGGCCCCCAGGTCGCTTTCACCCAACTGTATCACCAGTGTGTCTAGGGGCTGGTGATGCCACATCTGATGCCATATAGTAGGTAGCATGGTGTCCCATCTTATTCCTCTGGAGCTGAAACAAGTGATCTGCAGCACATCTTCCAGGCCAAGGTTCCTGCCCCATCCAGACGAGGCCACATAGACTGAGCCATGCAAGGCCCAGTGTACGATACTGTGCTCACAGATCCAAACTGACTTGCATTGACACCCTAAAACTGCAAAAATCACTGTTAAAAATCAGTAGCCAGGTGCAGCCAGATGTATGTCCTGTATGCCTCAGTGCACCCATCTCCCAGTGGCCTGAATACTTGATGGCCACAGTCCCAACTTGGCTGCTGTGGTCGCTGCCTCAATTTGAAAGGAATGGGGCCCAAAGTCTCCATGGGGAAGGCGCAAGGCCACTATGCCATGCCTCAGGACCCCAGCAAACTGATATCTTGTGAATGGTGAGCTGTCCCTATGGATTAAAAGTGGGCCTGGCCTGGTGGGCTGCACTTCCAGAAAAGCCTTTGTGGCCTACACCAGGCATGGGCCCTCCTCCCCTTGTAAGCAGTGCCATTAGAGAGAGCCTGCTACCCCAAAAGAGCTGCTGAGTGCTGGCTGAGCGCAAGCAGGATGCCCTGGGGTGGTAACACAGACAGAGCTCACAGTTATGGTCAAATTTACAGGCCCTCTGGTACCATCCCTGATTAAACTCCCAACCTACCCTGTGAGCTTGGGTCTCTCTGGGAGCCCCATTTGGTCTACCCAGACGATTCTGATTTTTCCTTGATGTTGGAGCATACCACCAATAACCATATTTTATCGTTCAAAAAGTCCCACCAGGCTTTCTCGCTCTGGGATGCTCTCTTACAGAATGCCTCATTGTACTCCATTGCTGCCGCCTCCCCAGACAATGCTTTGGCCCTTAGAACATTGCCCAGATGATTATTTGAGCACCATCCCCTGTCAGGATAGGCAGACATCACCACTCCCATGTATACCTGGTAGCCGGCCAGCCAATTGGCAAGTGTGTTCAGACTCATCTTTCTTCCTGCCCTTCCTGTCTCTTTTAGCAGCCCCCAGTCTGCTTCAATCACTGCCTTCTTCTAGCCTCCAATGGCGGCCTCTCCATCCGCTGCTGCCAGCCTCCACTGGAGCACACTGAGGGCCCCAGGACCAGCTCCAGGCACCTGTCGCAGCCAACCCCTCCCACATTGCCACTCCTCTCCGGTCTGCAGTTTTTTATGGTTATTGTTTTTGTATGGCAGCAGCAGCAGCGGCTGGCAGGAGAAGGCAGAGAAAAGTCCTAAAACAGCCGGCCCAAACCAGGCCCCAGCTCCGTCCTGCAGTATGGCCACGTGGACGGATGCTGACGGACTAGGAAAGCTGCAGTGAGCAGAGAAGGAAAAACCCACGTGGCCAGGTGAGCCTGGTGGGTGGCACTGCGCTTTAAATTCCCTCCTGCTCAGCCTGCACCACCCCCTCCCACGGCCCCTGTTCAGGCCTGATCATAGGCCAAGCCCTAGGAGGGCCCAGATTTCATGCCATTGCAGGCGCCCACCACTCAGCTGACTGCGAGGCCGGGCATTCAATGCACAGCCCAGCCTGGCCATGCCATTGTCGCCTCCTTTGGCTCTCCCCACCACTGTGGGACTGCAAAAAATTTGAATAAAATTAGAGTCCAGTGGCACCTTTAAGACCAGCAAAGTTTTATTTAAGGTATGAGCTTTCATGTGCATTTGAATATTTACCCAGCTTTACAGTAAACAGTAGGCTTTTCAGTGGTTTGGTATTATCATGTTCAACTGTACAGCAGAATTTGAGTATGCATGCATTATGATTGCCTCATATTATAGGTTTTTTATCCCATGCATACATTTTGTACTACTCATCTGAAAGCATTTTGAAGGGCTAAAAGGCAATAGTAGCAGTATGATTAAAATTTTAAAAGTATTTTAATGATTATGTGGAAAGGAGAATATTTTGTAGAATTTTTATTCAAGTTTTCCATATAAGGCCTTTAAAAAAATTAAAAGGTTTTCACAAGTTTTCATATTTCAGTGTGCAAAGTATTCTACTTATATGTAAATATACTATAAGCATCTGTTCCATACCACTATAGCCCTTTCTGGACAAGAAGGCTG